ACACACACACACACACACAGAGACACACACGCACACACACACACAGACACACCAGAGTTACCATCAGCCCCTGCTCTGATAGACAACCGCCCAGTGAGAGAATCAGATCTACTTACAACTACATACTACACACACTAACCAAACACAACTACAGTCTGTTACTACACTAGCTGCTACACTATTTTATTGTACCACACGACACACAACAGATTTAGCCACTTTGTCAGAGCATGCAACTTTTAGTATGTTTTAATTTTATATTTGAAGTTGGTTCAGTAAGTTTAACTTGTTTCTGTGAATCACTTTAAAATGCCGCCATGATTCAAAACTGCTTCAAAAAATTCAGTGTAATTCATTTGCACCCTCAATCAAATGTTCATGGCTGTTTCTGTAGATTTGTAGGCAAATATTACGGTTTATAACCATGTATAGGCATATTGATGCATGGATTCCCAAACCTTTTTGTCAGCCCAGCGCATTTGAGCTGAAATATTTACTCCCTAAAATTTTCCAATAAATCCCTAAGAATTTCAATCATTTTTCAACACATTCGCATGTTCATGGTTCTCTGATGTTGTTTATTGGTCACATGACATGCAGATAAACTAATTCAATATTTTAGCTATTTTTTGGTGTTTTATTTTGATTGTTTTTAATTTTAAAACGTATTTATTTTGATTTGACATTTCTATGATTTAAGTATTAGGTAATCAAAAAATATGTATTATATTGCTTAAATCAAATACATAAAATATATGTATTTTTTGGTGTTTTATTTTGATTGGGTTTTTTTAATTATTTAGATTTGTATTTAGGACTAAATTATTAGTTGTTCATTTACTCACAATCTCCAGTTTAGATCTCTGTATTGGTGTGTATACATTAAAAAGTAAAAATAAATAAAAAAAATTTCTTGTTCTTATTTTTGATGATTATTTTAATTAGATTAAATTTTTAGAGTGAATACATAAATATAGTACAGTCTGTAATATCATACAAACCAGGGTTATTAGAGTTCAAACTCATTAGCTGTTAAACAGTAACAAATAAAATAAAATATTGAAAAAAAA